TATGATAGCCCAAGAAGTATCAATTATTATTCACTTCTGTAGCAAATAATGGAATTCAGATGCAGAATTTGAAACAATGTCCATCCCATAATCCATAGATCAATAATGATTAACAATATCTTCCAGATAACATCAACTTACAATGAGTAATACCTCGATTTTAGCCCAGTGTGATTAACATTTAAAGTGTCAGTCAAATAACATTTTCTCGTTAGATACTATAGTATTTGTTTCCTCCGCTTCACATTTTTACAATGGTGTCCCTTACAACTATGGGAACCTATATAATGTTGAATATCCAGATTTCCAAGGCATTGGACAAAGTACCTCACGAAAGACCCCTTCACAAACTGAGGTCATTGATTATCAAGGGCAAGATATGCCTGAAGAAAAGGAAGAAAAGAGTCTTTGTTGAGGAGCTAGGTCAAATGGGGAGAGGCATTAAGCGGGGTACCTCAGGGGTTTGTACTGAGACATCTTCTGTTCCTTTTATTATTGATGAGATGGATTCACAGATTCAGTATAAGATAGTTAAATGTGCAGATGACACAAAGTTGGGGGGAACTGTGCTTGATAGGGTATGCAGAGGGGTTGATGACTGGCAAATGAGGTTTCATATTGATAAATGTAAGATACTCCATATAGATCCAAGAATAGGAAACACAGTACTCTATAGATGGGATTGCACTTGCCAAGGGGGAAGGTAAAAGAGATCCGGATTACTATGTCAAAACAATTTGACGTAGCGATTAACAAGGCAAACAGGATGCTGGGCTATGTCAGTTGAGTTTAACAATACTCTGGTAAGACCACACCTAAAGCATTGCATACGGCTCTTGTCAACGCAACTTAAGGGGCTGCTTAGCCCTAGCGGCAGTGCAGAGCAGAGCAACGGGGATGATCCTTAGTGCTAGAGAAATTATTTTATTAAAAATAGGTCTAAAATCTGGAAACAAGGAACATTTCTGGAATTCTTTTGTCGTTGGTTGACCTGCAGCAAAATACCATCAGTAAATGAACTTGAAAGCATTACATTACCTTTTAACAATATTGTCACCGTATTGGGAAAGTACATAATACCAGAAACCAAAGCAAACTTGCTTGCATAGGTTTTCAGACTCACTATAGGGTTACTTAGAGAATGCCATTTGGAGAATTATGCTGCGTTCCTACTTTACAAAGGATGATGAATCACCAGAATTTTAGCAGCTATTTGCGACTAAATGTGAGGTATAAACATGGCTCATTCAGCATGAACCATTCTGGGAGAAGGAGGAGGAGGAGGTATCAGGAGCCGTATGAGTTGCACCCGCTGCAGAATAATCACAGCAGGTGTGAATCACATTAGGCTCACAATATAAACAATACACAATTTTAGAATAGTGTTAAGTACTTAAAAACTAGGTAAATTACGATAAACTCCTCATAATTCAGCCCTGGCTTAACTTGTCACTACCACTTAAGTCACTATGCTGTCAATATCCCGACTGCTTCCCTTGCAAAATGTTATTAAATGACTTCAATTTACTTGTCGCTCCACTTAACACATAACTACTCACATTCTAGAAATTCTTGTAAGTATTTACAATGTAAAACTGATTGGATAACTTCTCCTATAAGATGGCGTCTTGCATCGCTGAAGCCTCCCGCCTTATCTTGTGACTGGTGCAGGTGATGGGCGAAAGTTGGTGCGCATGCTCAGAATCATCACATAATAATAATAATAATAATAATAATCCTTGCATTTGATATAGCTCTTTTCATGTCTTCTAGACGTCTCAAAGTGCTTCACAGAATATGCTGTAAAGTGAATTGACTGTATACTTTGGGCGAAACGCGGCAGCCAATTGTGCACAGCAGTGTCCCACAAACAGTCATGAATTGAAAATGACCAATTTTTTTTTGGAGGGATTATTATTAGGAGTAAGGAAACTTGCCCAAGGTTTCGCCCTGCCTGGAATTGAACCCAGGTGTCTCGCTTGCAAGGCTCTAACCACTGAGCTACAGGACTCCACAATAGGCCTCTCGTCTATTGGAGAGTTGAACTTGACCACCCACCCCACCTCCTGCGCTTTCCTGATAACTCGTCACTGAGCTCTTTCCCTTGGGATGATGAGTTACCCGGAGTTTACTATATCCCATCCTCCCTGTCCTCCGTGCCTCCTAATCCCAACCCCAGTTTATGTGCAAATCCTTGATTATTCAGCACCTTGCGATGTCCCCCCAATGTGAAAGCATGTGATGTTGCATCTCTCAAGCTAAAAATAGAGGGTTTTGCTTACTTTTTTTGGGCTTAAACATCTCCAAATGAAACTACTGAGATTTCTACATGTATATAGTTTCTATTGTCTGGCATGGTGTACACACCCTACTTAAATAGAGTTGGCAAAACCCAAGGTTTAGAAGGTGCATTGGGCACTGCTGGAGTGGGTATTGTGGTCCAAACTGGACCAGAAGTGGGGTGTTACCAGTGATTACATTGGCAAGAAATGTGGTTTTAACAGTTTCAGCGACCTATGTGCCAGTGCCTTACTAAATCCCTCTCTTGTTGTATCCTGTAGATTACATTTTTTTCTTACTTTTAAAATAATCTTTACATTTGATTTAATGCTTTTCACATCGGGAGGATATCTCAAAGTGCTTCATAGGATTTACTGTAAAGTGTAATGACTGTGTATTTTTATATATAAACCCAGCAAAGTCCTGTGAACAGTCACAAAATGAGTAACCAATGTTTTTACTTGGGGCCAGGACATGGAGAGGAACTCCCTTCTCTTTTTAAATAGTGTCATGGGATTTTTAACATCTACCTGAACAGGCAGACAGGACCTTTGTTTAACATCACATTGGAAGGGTGGCACCTCCAACAGTGCAACACAAACTGCTTTACACCCTTAGTGATACACTTCAGTTTCTTAATTCAAATCAATACTCAGCTCGGTTCACTAACTGTCCTTCAAGCCCGTCACCGCATGTTTTATACACTGGACTGCCTTTACGAAATATAGTACTGAGTATAATTTAACAGCACAAACTATTCTTTCTGTTCCCCCTATAAAACTTTACACCCTTAATCCAACAACATGCTGACAAATATATTTGTACTCATAGAGAACATTTTGTGCATAATATGATATAGGTTGAAAAGCTGTAAAACTCTTGGGATCAGCAGCTTTGAACTCCTCTCACCAATTATCATATCAATATTTGGGAGGATGTAAAATCATAAGGGAAAGTTTTAATATAATAACGATCCTTGCTTTTGATACAGGGCCTTATCACAACAGCAAGGCACTTCACAGGATGTACTATAAAGTGGTGTGACTGTGTATATTTTGTAGGCAAAAAAAACAGACTCTTGGGCCCCAAATTAGTCAACATGTTGTGGTTGTTTATGAAAGTATTGTATTCAGAAATGTGAAAGAACTTGACAGATGCTCCTTTTATTTTGATGCTTCCCAATTTAGTTGGAGCAAAAGATATCAGCAGAATTTTTGGTTATTGTTTAATTCCGTGGATATTGTTTTACATGAGTATTTGGGGCATATGAGTATTTGGGCTGTGATATAACCACTATTTACACATTAAATGCGTAATAAATCTCATGATCAAATGAAACTCAATTTGTTCACCAGGAATTTGTTTGAATGGATTATTCTCTGTAGTGAACTAATGTACAATCTTAACAATGAAACAGCAGCAAAACAGTAAAAATATTTAATACAGTATTGTTTCTTGTACCATTTTCCTATGAGTTTCAAATGCTATTATAATAATTCTTGCCTCTAATTTTTATTGCTTTCAATCAAGCCAGTTTTCAATCCATATTTAGTAATTGTCATTAAATTCATAAAGCTTTAATCCTTTTTTGGAGGTCTGACATATGAAATGTAATGAAATACCTTCTTACAATTCTGTTTTCACCCACTGGTATGTCACATGACCAGGATATAGTATTTGGTAACCTGCATTTCTGTATTCCAATACATTGTAGTTTATTTAATTTATTTAAGAGGGAGGGAGCAGAGTCAATGTGAAAGCTCAGTGCTGAAGGGGTAAGACACATCCACAAGTTCTGACTAAATTGGCAAAAGATAATTCTATGAAAAAAAGGCTTCAGAAGAAGTGCATATATATTTGGAAATTTTGGCTATAGGAAACCATCAAATTTAACATACTGTAGTTGCCTGCAAGGATTGGTTTAAATAACTCATGCTACAGCTGTTAGTCTACTTCCTACAGACTCTTCATGTTTAATGAATCATATTCTGTTCAGTGGTACCTTTCGGGAGTACTACACACTTCACAGTTACCAAGCAGCAAATTCATTTCACACAGAATAAGAAAATATAACTAGGATCTCAGCCGATGATAATGACAGCAAGTCAAACCAAAGCACAGGCAATGCACATTGCATAAACTACAGCATGCAAATCTCAGTTCTATTTTCATTTACCATTTGAAAGACATGTTAATGAAGCATCAAAAGACAATTATGTTTTTTTTAACACTGTTGGGTCAGACACAAGGCTCTACTTCTCAAGACATCATTGATACTTATATATAAATCAAGCTGAGTTGAGTGTACCTTTGGCACAGTCATGCACTCTTTAAAGTGTAAATGTTATGCCTTAAGATGATCCAAATGTCTCCAGCACAACACAAATTCATATTCAGGTTTTCAGTATATTGTTCTTAACTCGTTTTGCACAATCAATACAATGCCATATCTCTGCTGTGTTTTAGGAATGAAAAACAGTTTAATAAGGAAAGGATACACAATTATCATTGTTTTAAAACAAAGATAATTGAATTTCAAGTGCAAAATCACTAAAGGCAGACCCCAATGGATCAGTGAATTTTAAAACATAGGGATTCAGATGAACAAACATTACTGGATGCATTTTTGGAATTCAGATCAGCAATATTTAGTTCTCATTTCTATTTATAAAAGTAACTTTGCATTCATTGCATTTATTTTAACATGAGAAATCACCAACCTTTTCTTTTAGATAGAGGATGAATTTCACCTGAATAAAAGAAAAACTCAAATGAAAAATATAATGATATTTCTGTAAGATAAACACAGAAAAGCTAGCAATCCTGCCACTGATAAAGGGCTCAGGTGTTCACTGAACTTTTCTGGCATAGTGTTGGTGAGATTTCTAATCTCGGTAGCTATTGACTTGATATTTGATCTTGCAAATCATTTTTTGCTTTGCTTTATATTTTAGTCATAACTCCCTGGGTGTAATTTCCCCATATTAGTAAATCTGATGCTATTTTATCAATTCTCCAATTCAATTCAGTTCAGTTATTGATTTTTACACACACGCACACACACACAACAGATCTAATTCAGTTTGATGAGCTCAAACTAAAGGTTCAGCATTGATAAAAGAGCCTTATCTTGAATATTGCAGGAATTTTCTTATACGACTTTCTCCGGACTAAACCATGTTTTTACATTGCTTACGTAACTTTAATCGCTTAGTGGGGGTTGCCAGATCGGCCTGCTATGCTGTTGGAATGTGTTAGTGATAATCTGATTTTGTCCAATATGCAATATCTTGTATTTATTTGTATTGAACTTCATTTGTCTCAGTCATCATCCCATGTGTATCCCTGTTAAACTCTCTTTGAAAGACCTTTCCGACCTACTCTGATACCAAAGTTCCTTCAAGTTACAATAATTATAACAATCCTTGCATTTAAAGTAGTCTCTTCACATCAGGAGAACATCTCAAAGTGCTTCACAGGATTTACTGTGAAGTGTAGAGACTGTATTGTAGGAAAACATAGTAGCCAATTTGCACACAGCATTGTCTCACAAATAGCCATGAAGTGAATGACCAATTTGATCTGGGGGATTGTTGGCCAGGACACTAGGAGAAACTCCCTTTTCTTTTTGAATAGGGCCGTGAAATCTTTAACATCACTGCAACAGGAAGACAAACCTTGGTTTAAAATTTCATCCAAAGGATGGCACCTCCAACAACACACAGCACCCCAAAACTGGATTTGAGAATCAGCATAGACTATATGAGTTCAAAATCCCGATGTGAGGCTTGAACCAACACGTTTCTGTCTCAGAGGTGACAGTGCTACCAATGTGTGGTCATTTGCAAATTCAATTACCCAATTCAGTGCATCCAGGTAATTAATATAATGAACAAGATGGGTCCCAATACAGACCCCTGAGACACCCCACTTAATACCTCTCCTCATGTTGACCTAACTCCCCTAACCCACTGCTCTCTACCCTCAGCCAATTTTGAACCTACGCCCACATGTTGTCCTTAATACCCAGTGGTATTAGTTTGTGAAACGTCTCTCACATGGTACTTTGTTAAATGCCTTTTGGAAGTCTAGGTACACTGTTGCCCCACAGGCAATTTGGATTGCTAAATATCAAAAAGGAGAAGTTCCCTGCTCGACCTTTCCCTTCTCTATCCCAGAATATTGAGTCCAATGGTGGGAACCTGCTACACTGATTCAGTTCAATGAACTAATAGCATAGTTCTACATAGAAAATACCAACCTTTCCGTTTAGCTGGAGGATGAAGAACAGCTGGAATGGGTAAAGTAAAAAGAGAAAATTAGGTATGAATTACACAGCGTATCATTCCAACTTCTCATGTTTAATTAAACATGTGCAAATCAGCAGAATTAGATTAAGAAGCAAATAATAACAAGGTTCGGATAATTTAAAAAGGCATCCTTTCACATTTGCAATTTCTATAATGTTCTTTTAACGTGTCGGTGGGGTATCATAAATTATATTACGAAGGCTAGCATATAATTAAAATCATGTTCATATTACAGTCATTTAGAAAATGCAGCTCAATAAACTGGAACCAGAGGCATATATTATTAAGCATGTGGAATACCATAGTGAATGGTGAAGTATGCAAAAAGAAAGCAAAGAATCATGTCATACAAAATCTACATCTCAGAGTTTTTAAGAAAGCTTTCTGCTTTCTACCTTCTTTGAAAAAGAATTCCACTGCCTAGATATGAAATTTACGGGTGTCTCTGAATGTTATGAGTACCAGAGACTTAATTTGTTACCTCTCTCTAATCTGACAATCCAGCAGTATTCCAGGGCACTGCTGTTGACAGACCAGCTGGCCTGACTCATCGACAGAACTTGGATGGGCAAACAAGTTACTGGAAACAAGGATTATTCACACTTATCTTATAATAATCTTTGCAATTTCTGTTAACCCTGCAAGCCAAAGCTTTAATGCATAGGGGCTGGCTCCTAGCTGAACAAACAGTGGGAACTTTGCCAGACAGTGCTCTCGATGGCAAGCTATGCCGTTGTAGTAGGTTAAACTTCAAAAGTACCCAACAAACTCTCTGCGGTCCCCAAGTTATGGCTCTTGCCAACCTTACTTGGTAATCCCCTGAATTAGGTTAGCAGGGTGCACCCCTCCAAACATTTCATTCTTTGGGAAATTTCAAGTGTAGATGGCATACATATGGGGAATGCTCAGTGTGGCTTCGATACCCTTAGGCAAGGTGATAGGTTTTTGCATGTGTCAGGCAACTACCTGACCAACAAAATAATATTCAAAGGAACTTTCAAACTGTACACACTTAGCAGTCCATGGTTCAAAATACATGCAAATTCCTCTGATATCACTAGGTAAAGATGCAGATTGTTTGCCAGTGGAAACCTGATGTAATTATGTTATTTTCTGCAGTTCGATTCTTCCTATACCATTTATTTTATTTTTCTTTTCCTTTTAAAGTCATTCCACAGCACACTCATTATCCCTTGATGACAAAGTGGGCACTTTGAGCTTCCAATAGCCTAGCGGATGAAGGCACCTCTACAGCACTATTTCATATGGACAATGTATCTCTGATTTTAAAATAATGTGCTTGGCAAAGGAAAATTGTTGCTGAATCAACTCTCTGCTCCTTGTAGTTACAAAATAAATCAACAACAACAAACTATATTTGTATAGCACCTTGCACATAGGGAGGACGTCCCAAGGTGCTGGACAGTCAGGAATTTGGACCCAAGCTGGTAGATCAATACCTGAGTCAGGTAGATTTACAGTGCTCTAGTTTCTATCATTATTAATCTCCCTGTCTGATTCATCAAAAGGAGTAGAGATATGGGTATTTGGAGACACACAGGATTCTTATTGGAACTTCAAATCACCATGCAAGACAATGTTCTAAATGTTACTAGATGGGTAAGCAATAGGTAGTTTACTAGTGTTGCCTTTTGGCAAGTTGTCTGATGTTAACTGGTTAGGTTTAAACAGTATTCCCAACATACACACTGGGGGACCTAATGCCTTTGACAACTATCAATGCAACCCATTCTTGGGTATGTACTCATGAGGTGAGTGGTGGCATCCTCCAGAACTGACAACCAGAAATTTGTGAGATTTCAGTGGCTGAAATTGGAGTTTCTTCAGCATAGCTCTCTGTTCATATCAGACACTTAGCTAACCAAAATAAAACATATTGTCATTGCTTGATCAGCCTGTCTGATTCATCAACAAAACTTGGACAGCCTTTCAATTTGGGTTTACTCAAACAATAAGTGTAATGAGAATTTCAATGACTTTCGTTTAATTTAAATGATGATTGATATAGGACTGCATAAATGTTTCTGGCTGTAGGATATCTAGATTGAATGGACTGCATAATGGAACAAGAGTTAACACAATGCTGCAGCTAATAAATAATATATACCACAGGTCAACACACCACTAAGGTAAAGCAATCTCAAGTGGAAATCAAAGATACAGGACTTTCTACAGGAGCTACTTACTCCAAATAGAAATTCAGTTAAAATGTCAATCACATCTTAGTGTGGAAGGTAAATGCAAGTCCTTTTTCCAACATTAACAAAACACATTATGAGATCTCATATCTTATTGTCTGGATTTAATCAGTATTGTAGCAGTGCCCTGCTTTCTTTGTAATTCTATCTTGCCATCTCCAGATTTTCTTATACCACAAACATGTCCTTCTGGACAACTTCAAATCGTTAAAGTTCTGTTGCAAGATTCCAGCACGATTTTTAAAATAGATGTGAAGCTGAGCTTGCAACGAAAGTTACCAACCATCAACAAAGCAGAAAAAGAAACAGCATAAAAGCAATGCTGGCATATATTAAATCTAAAATAAACCAAAATATTTCTATAAATCGGGTTTCCAAATAAGTGATGAGAACAATGCACTGCAGACCATGACACATTTAACAGCTAAATATCACTAAAGTCAGGACTTTCTACTGAACAGAATTATGACACCAAAAGCAGGAGAGGTGGAGGCTCATGTGAAGTATAAATACCAGCATGGACAGGTTGGGCTAATGGCCGGTCTGTTCTATAACCTATATTATTTTATCTGTTTTATGTAATTACTGATTTCTTTAATAACTTTTTTGGAAAGGACTGGAACAATTATCCTCTTCTCCCATTTACTCAACACCCTAAATATTTCAGGTTGGAGGAATGACTTTTGTCAGGAGGATACATGGGAATAATCACACAGAAAAGGCAACTTGATCAGGAGTGTAACATATATCTTTTTTTTTAAATTAAGTCCTTTGACTAAATTCAACTAGCTTAATGCTATAAATATTAATAAGATCGCAGAGTTGCTTTAAGCAACATTTGATAAATTCCCTGGAACCTAGAATTATAATTGTACAACATATAATAATTATGAAATATACACTGATTGCAAACACTAATTTTCACTTGATTGTTGATGTAGCAACAATTCATTTATTTTTCTGAAGGGAGATGAGACAAATCAAACACTCATTTCTTTTACTATTAGAAACAGTTTGTCTATATCTCAAAAGACTTACTGACATCCTCTCTCAGTATCCTGCTACCTAATAGCTTCTTTTGTTTTTTTACCCCTAGAAGTAAAGTGAGTTGGATGTAGGATTTATTCTTCCCATCCCCTCAATCATCCTTCCTGGTAACGCATTGCAGTCATTACTTAACCTTACTCTGGGTAAGAATATATTTCCTGATGTCTCTCGTGAATTTGTACTTTACAATTCTAGACTGCGTCATCCTGTTCTTCTGTCTTAGTGCATAACAATACTATATGTATGGATATGAACATTCTTTCTTAGTGCTACACTGATTGTTTTACATTTATTATATAATATTGATCCAGTGATAGGAACTAAACTAATTCCTTAATTTGGAACTTTAAATCATACTTTTGCCTCTGAGGAAAGGGTCGAATTAAAACAAAAACCTATAAGATTCTTAAGGGTCTTGACTGGGTAAATGCCGTGATCCTGTTTCCCCTGGTTGGAGAATCTAAAACTAGGGATCATAGTCTCAAGATTAAGGGTCAGCCTTTTCGAACTGAGTAGAGGGAACATTTCTTCACTCAGAGGGTAGTGAATTTGTGGAATTCTCTACTCCAGAAGGCAGTGGATGCTCAGTCCTTGAACATATTCAAGACTGAGGTTGATAGATTTCTAAAGGATAGAGGGATTTAGGGATATGGGGATAGGGCGGGTAAATGGAATTAGGTTAGAAGATCAGCCATGATCTTATTAAATAGCGGGGCAAGCTCGAGGGGCCAAATGGCCTACTCCTGCTCCTATGTCTTATGGTCTTATGGTCTTAAAACAGAAGTGACTGCATTAGCACTAACTCTGGATTCTGACTGAAATTGTGGGATTTGTTACAAAATATTGAGGAAATGATCTTATGGTTAAGGCCATGATGATTTCTGGTTTCTGGCTTTTACTACAGTTTTGCATTTATTTTTGTCATTTCTTTTCTTTAAAAATATATATATTTGTGTGGGTTTAGTCAGGTCAGGTTACGATGAAGCTAAATATTTGACTGGTTTATTGGATTGATTTATCATTCACAATCTGCAGTGAGGTTGCCTTTTGGCTGCTCTCAGAGCTAATGGCTGCCTTTGGCTGCTCTTCACAAAGAGCTAATAACAATAAAATAATTCTAAAATGAACTTGCATTGTCCAGTGCTACAGTGACATATTATCCTAGTTAATATCAAATGAAGCCTGGCACATTCAAAACCTAGAACATCCATTAGAGAACTAAGCTAACAACAACAACAACTTGGATTTATATAGCGCCCTCCATGCCGGACGGCATCTCAGAGCATTTCACAGTAATGGATCCCGGGACCGAGCCGGGGGGAGGGGGAGGAAGGTGACTAAAGGTACGGTCGAAAAGAAAGGTTTTCAGCAGCGACCTGAAAATACGAAGAGAGGGGGCGAGGCAAAGGGAGTGAGGAAGGGAGTTCCAGAGCTTCGGGGCGTAGTGGCTGAAAGCACGGTCGCCGAGGGTGGAGCGGAGTACTCGGGGGACAAGGAGGAGGCCAGACCCGGTGGAACAAAGGCAATGGGCACTGTTGTGAGGAGAGAGAAGGTGAGAGAAGTAGGGGGTGCAGAGGAGTGGAGGGATTTGAAGACAAGGGTGAGGAGCTAAAACAGTACAGTATGGAAATCTATTCATAATACACTTCTTTTGGGAGCCATTGGCAATCGTGTTCTTATCCAAGATATATTACTGAAAATGTGTTTCCTTTATT